TAGTGAGATAGGAGATTTACTTGTTTTTAATGTTGACTTTCTGTTCCTCAGAAACTTCTTGGTATCTCTGATAATAGCCTTGCAAAGAGTGTCTGTCATTATCATACTCTGTTCGTGACCTCTTAAGTACAGCTGTAACAAAACCATGCAAAGTTTTGTGTGTGTGTGTGTGTGTGTGTTTTTTTTTTTTTTTTTTTTTTTTTTTTTAACCACAGTGCGACAGAACCTCAGCCGAGCCAGTTAAAAGTTGGTAATTTTACACAACTGCCTTTCTTAGAGGTCCTGGCAACAACTTCCTTTTGCTCAGTGTGAGCTGATGGCATAGTCACTTCCTATTTGGTTTCAACTGCCAGTTTTTTTTTCCTGTTTTTAACTGCCACCTTTGACTAGATCTGCTCTCTTGAGAAGCCTATGAATTAAGGAACAAGTGGCCAATTGGATGCATTTTAAAAAGTCAACTCAGAGGGGAAAATATCGCCCAGAATAGGAGTTGAGAATCACTTCATGGTGACACATGAAAATGCTCTCCCGTGACTCAAGTCTGTACCCCAAGGGGCAGAGAGGGTACCAGTTCATACTATAAAGAGCCCAGTTTCCCAAATCAGTTCTCCCCAACAGTGTCCCTCAACATTCTTCCCCAGAAGTCTCCCCACTATCCCTGTCAAGACAAAACTGTCATTGTGGGGTGACCTGTGCAGTAACCAGTGTTTCTTTTGGCACCAAGGAGAGCTGTGAGTACTCCTTTCCAGGCATTTGCAACTCCACAGCATGAGTCTGTCACAGAGGAGGGATAGGTCAGCCAAATGGGAACCAGAGAAGGAGCCATTCTACCTTCAGATTCAGAAATATACATGTGTGTGAAAAGGCCCAGTCTGCATTGCCGTCTCTCAGCTCTGATACAGGCAATGAGCTCTTTTCCATTGGTGCCTAAGTGCAAGCATTTCTGAAGCACACACTTAAAGAAATGCTACAAGCAGGAAGCTGCTTACACAGCATCTGCTTCCACCCACCTCTTCTGTCCCCTCGGTAGCATCAGGAAGTAACTCTACTGACAATATTCTCCTGTGCAGTCTTGCATTTCTGTTACAAATGATATTGTGCTTGACTATTGTGCATGCCCCAAATGATATAAGCTTATTTTGGAGAATTCAGCAATTAGACAGGCTCAACATTCTCTGACTCACAATGGATTCCATAGGTTTTTGCTCAGGATACTTGTTATAGCAACGGTTACAGCTATTATATCATGCTTTCCAATCTGATATCCACAAAGAGCAAAGAGAAGATTGGAGATATCACATGCTTTTATTTGAGGGGAAAAAGCAACCTACTGTGCATGGCGGTGCATGTCTTTACTCCCAGTGCATGGGAGGCAGAGACAAACGGATCTCTGTGAGTTTGAGGACAGCCTGCCCTATGCAGTGAATTCCAGGACAGCCAAGACTACACAGTGAGACCTTGTCTGCAAAGCAAACAACAACTACAACAAAAATGAAAAGATCCTTGAATGTTTTACTTCAATATATCAGTTCAGTAGCTTATAGTATGAATCCAGATATTCCTATCACTGGATGGTAAACTTCAAGAACAACCCAGGTAATTCATTTGGTTTTTATATATTTCAATAATTGAATAAAATCCAGACAATTATAACATTTGCCATCGCTCTTTGCACATTTTATATATTTCAATGGAGACTTTAGGCTTAAAATGTGAAAATTCATAATATGAGGCCCTTTCTTTAAATTTTGTGGACTAAAAGCTCACATTTGTCTTGATAAATTATTGTATTTGAAAGCTTTTAGATAATGTCTGCCACATTAGAATATGCTCAGTGACTATGTTTTAAGCAAACCAATATTTTCCTTAAACATTACTATTTGATACTATTTTAAAGTAAAATATGCAAGTCTGTGGGGGGGAGGGAGAGTAACAAACAGTTGCATTTCTTGTCACTATATTCACTCTTTAGGAAACAGTGGTTTGTGGTACAATGGTAACATGATAATATTGCTTTGTTTTATAGGACCCCTTGCCATTGTTCCAGATGATTATTTTTTATTACAGACAGCACATTGGACTAAAATACTAAAGAAACACTGATTCCCAAGTGTATGACTTGATTAGTAGTGTCTCTACCAAAGATTGTAGAACATGGTTTCTTCAGGTTTGGCACCACTGACATTTCCATTGAGATAATTCTTTGTTGTGGAAATTGTTGTGTGCGCCCCTCACTTCTACCAGCTAGAGAGAGGTAGCAATCCCCTCATTATTTATTGCAGAGGTAATATTTATTACAGAGGTATTTCTATCAAAGGTTAAAAAAAGAAATTGCTCCTTGATGAGGACCTACATATTTGCTATGAATCAGTCCATCTTCTAAATATTGATAAACATGAATAAAGTTAAGTATTTAATATTGAAAGTGTGATAAATATCAGGAAAGTCAACCCATAGAGGGTAAATTTTATTTAGTTATTTACTTGTGTGTCTTTGTGTGTATACATATGTGTAAGCCTGCCTATGCCATGCCATGCATGTAGCGATCAGAGGACAATTCCCTGGAGTTGGTTTTCTCCTTTGACCATACAGGTTCTAGGTCTGGAACTGAAGTCCTCGGCCTTGGTGGTGAGTAATTTTGCCTGCTAAGCCCTCTCACCGGTGCAGAGAGATGTTCAATTTTTTTATTTTTGTAAGTTTGGAGGGCTCATAGACACTGCCATGGAATTCATTTGCTTCCATAATTCTGCACATAGTCTTCATCTGTCTAGTTAATAAATACTCATAGAAATAAGGTCACATGTATCAAGCAAGTACTAACTTCTGTCTGAGGTACTGTGATATACCCTATGAGGCTACCAAAAATCATCAGATGTGTTGTTCGTCCTCATGAAAAACTTTCCATTGAACTGTGGCAATATATTGTAGCATACATATGAGGGTCCCTAATCTGAAATCAAAATCCTCTGAAATTTTTTGTTTGTGTAAACAGCCCCATATTTGAAAAACTGAAATCCAAAACACTTCCCTCAAGCCCTCATATGAGAGACACTCAACATGTATTATTAGACTACGGACAGACACCTTGAAGTAAAAGAGCTACCCACTGTGTGTGTGTGTGTGTGTGTGTGTGTGTGTGTGTGTGTGTGTGTCTGAGAGAGAGAAAGAGAGAGAGCCCCAAAGAAATCTCCAAGTGATCGTTATCAATAGTAGCAATAACGAATGGTTTATTCAAGATGAGCATACCTAAATTAAAATTGCTCATCGGTGTCATTCAGTCTCAGTAGTCTAGTAGTCAAAGTTTAGTGTTAATCCTTCCATATTACAACATCATTCAAGTCTAGCATGATGTCAGGAAAGGTATTTCTTTGATATTATTAGAGTTCACTTGTTTACTAGAATTATACAACATTCTCTTAGGTAGTTGTAAAATTTAAGTAACTGGAAACAACACAGTAAGCCAAAATTGAAAACATATATATATATATATAAAAAGTGATCAACTTCAAGGTTAACCAAGAGCAGTGTCTACAAGTTTAGCCTGACAACAATACAATAAAACACAGTGTCCTAGAATACACCTAACAACATTTGCCACAGAACATTGTAGGCGCTGGCAATACAGCAGTAAAAACAACAAGCAAGACCCATTCTTCTTGAATAATTTTCATAGAAGAGAAGTTGGATCATTGGCCTCACGTACCTAGTAAGGTTGGTGGGCAAATAAAAGGCATGTGATGCCAGAAATACAAAGAAAGAGCAACAATATAAACATTGCTTCCATGTACACATGGTAGGATTTTCAAAGTGAGCACAGAGCAACTATGAAAATTGGATGATGGGTCTAAAGAAAGTGGAATGGACCTTGAGGTGGGTCTTTAATGATGGAGCCTGATTCGCATTACTAAGACTCACTGTTGATCTCATCTCAACAAATGCTACTATTCCTTTATAATTGAGAATGGCAATTGTTGAGTGTCTACTTAGAGTTGCCCATAGTGTATTGAGTGCACAGGCTTGGAACAAACTACAAAGGTGTGTTCTCATGTGAAACTGGCACTTGACTATTAGCTTTAGCCCCTTCTGTGTATACCTAACCCTAACCATACGCGATTCCTGTGACAGCTATTGTTATCACTGTCACTGTTGTAATTGGGTTCCCCCTAAAGGGCTTGCCTTGCCCCTGTAGTTAGTTAAGTTAGAAAAAGGCAAAGAGTTGCAGAAGTCGCGGCTTTGTATGCTGAATGCAACTATGTGTGCTGCCAACGCGCTAATCTCATGCTCCTTGCCTTTGCTGTCCTCCTTAATTTTTCTGCCAATAGGTGATTTGTTTTCCAATTTTCCCCTCTTTTAAACAAGCAGAAACTGTGAGAAGTTTCAGCCACTCCGTTCCTCAACGAATAGCCTAATGTGGGGACAGGCTCATGTTAAAGTGATCTGAGTCAAGTCTAGGGGTAAGAAAGTTGAAAAGCAAGAGGACAAGAACCTAAAGCGCTGAAGGAGCAGGTGTCTGGCTCGGTGGCCCCACCCTCGGCCAGGTGGGGGAGCCAAGCAAAACTTTTTCAACTCCAGACCTCTGTGAGGCTGCACCCATCCCAGCCTCCCCAGCCTGTCTGCAACGTGGCCGGGTTCATCCGGGCCGCCCTCATGTCCCCCACCCGACTCCTGCTCTCTCAAACTCTTCTGTTCCAGGCCCAGTCGTATTCCAGGTTTCTGGATCCCAGGCTTGTGCTGCTCTTCACAAACTCGGAGAGCCTCCTGCTTCTCTAACTCCAGCTACTTTAGCCTAGCCCCTTTGCAGCCTGAAGCCTCAACTCCTCTGACACCGCCCGGCAGCGGGGTGGAGTCAGGGCCAACTGCGGAACCGCCCCCAACCGCCTCCCAGGCTAAACGATCGGGCGGGTTGCTGCGGCGCCTCCACCTCCTCTTCCTAAAGCGGCGAGGCGCAGCCAAGCGGCATCACTGGCGCCCAGGTCCCAGGCACAGCCGCACGTACAGCCCTGCTTTCAGGAAGAGGAGCAGCTGCACAGTTGGCCGCGACCTCGGCGGGTGGGCATCTGAGAGGTAAACTGAGTCCCGGGGAGCAGTGCCGCGAACCACTCACCTCCCAGCAAGGGGGGTTGGGGAGTGGAGGCTGGAAGCCTCCAGCCCACTAACTCCACTTCTGTGTCTTTCCAGGCCCCGATCGAGAAGCCTGCGAGAGCAGCCTAGCTACCCCTGTAGGAGGAGCCAGTCTGAGCCCAAGGCGCCACCACCGCAGAAGCAGCGCAAAGTAGCAGTTGCCTCCATGGCCCACTCACCGGTGGCTGTCCAAGTGCCCGGGATGCAGGTGAGAAAGCCCAGGCCTTCTCTGCCACCCACGTGACTGCTCCAGATCCCTGCTCTGGGCACCAGGGACCAGGGGCAGCCACTGGGCAAACCTGAAGGTAGGGCCAGATCTCTCTCCAGGTGACCCCGTAGTAAAGCTCGAGGTGTTTCCTGGTGCCTGGGCTAGAAGGTGCTTTGCACGGGAGAGATTGGGGCGACTGGGGCGCGACAGTAAATGGAGGTTGGGGTTGGCAGGGAGGGGTGTACGTATAAAAATAGGCCAGAATCTTAGGCACCTGTGCTTGTTGGCTTGTTGATCATGACACGGTTGAGGACGGGGGAGGGGAGTGTCCCAGAACCTAGATGAGATGGAGTCTTCTTGGACTGTGTGGGCTAAAACACTCAAGCGGTGCCCCCCACAGGGCACACACACAGAAGTTGGGGCGGAGCGAGACCAGGAGTGGTGGTGGCACTGAATTGGGCTCTTCCTGTGTGCAAAGAGAGAAGAGTGAGATGACTTTTTTTCCCTTTCAGTGCTACTTAAAGCAAACTTGTATCTCGCTCCCCCCACTTGCTGTAAAAAATGCAGGGTCCCATTCTGAGTACTTAGGGGATGACTTCCCAGGCCCATCTCCCTGTCTCTTTCATAAGGGGCTGGACACATGTTTTAAGCATTTTATCCAGTCCAAAGGACTACTGAGTGGGACCCAACTTCCTATTCGAAGTCTATGCAGTTCTCCCCATTTAATATTATCATTTTATTAGGGTAAAGCTATGTCAACAGGCTTTTTACACATCTTGATTTTGTTTTTGTTTGTTTGTTTTTTTAAAACACTATAACATTTTAAACCGTTTACATTTGACCCCACCACATAGTAGCATAAACAACCCCTTTATGAAGCATAGTTCAGAGAGTAAAAACACTGATACTGGTTTCTTCTGATCTTCTAAATATGCTAAAACAACCAAATAAACTTTTTTTTTTTTCAAGTCAGAAAATGTCTGGAACATTGCATAGTTTATGTTTCTAGTAAGAATCAAAACTTTGTGGATTGAAGATTCATTTTACTGCCTGCATGGGTTTCTTCTTTTGCCTTGGAAATTGGTGCCATTTTATGCATGATCCCAAAGGTGATTTTTTTTAAAAGATCCTTTCTTTTCAAAGGGGCCATTTGTGTAAGACAGGCATCTATCCTGTGTTTGGGGTAGGTCTGAATTTGAGACTCAGGAAATGTGCCTATATTTAATAAAATTACAGAAGCAAGGAGAAATTGGAAGTAGGAAATAGAAGGGCGTTTTATGGTATTAATCCATTTAAGCTTTCCCCAGTGCCCCAAACTTCTTTCTCACACATTCTCATTCCCTGGCTCTCTTCCCCTTAACTACTCCCCACACCCCATTCATTCAGTTCTAGCTTTGGTTGTATCTAGAGAAGCAGTAGTTTGCAATGGGAACTGTAGTTTTGCTGTGTCTGGTCTGGAACAAAGTGTGAACTTTCCCGTGCATGCTCTGCTTCCCATTATGCGGAGAAGTAGAACTTTATGTATGTAATGTTTGTCGCTCAGGGGCTCAAGGCTTCTCTAGCCATTGTGTGCAAGCGTCCTCTTGCATATGCTCTCATTCATCAACCGTGGTTCTGGGGAACTCTGTGTGCTCAGGAGAGAATGGTTTCTGGTCTTTATTTCATTTGTCTTGACTTTATTTGATTTATGTGGTTTCTGGTCTTTATTTCATTTGTCTTGACTTTATTTGATTTAGATGGCTTACGAACTGCTTGCTGTTCAGCGTTTTCGCGTCGCTCCTGCTTTGTTTAATTATCTGAGTGGCTATTTCTTGGATTTTTAATCCTTACTTAAGGCAGGGTAAAATTGTGACCCTCATATTTGAAATCATCAACTTTGCCTTGCATAGTATGCCTTCCCAAAGTTGTTTCTTTGTCAAACCTTAGTTCCATAGGGCCGTCATTTCAGTTTTAGCCAAGGTGCAAGAATTATTGATTTGCTACCCTCTCCATCTAAATGAAACAGCAAATTCTTAAATTATTTCCATTTTTCTTTCAAGATGTGTTTCTCAAGCACTTGTTTGTAACATAAAAAAAGAAACTTATCCCTACTTGAAATTATACAGTGACCTAAAAAAAGTTCACAGCGTGCAGCATGGCCCTTTAGCCTGGAGTACTTTTGTTTTCTTTTGCAAAAATATGATGTGGAAATGTATCCTGCAATCACAATAGTCTCTTAGAGTTTTGCTAAAGTTAGGAGCAAGCAACTTTTAGGCTGTTTAAGTAGCAAGAAGACTTGAATTTGCCATGTGTTCTTTAAATTAATGTGGACTATTTTCCCAAATCAGGGTGAAGTGATGGACCAGCCTGTAGGTTTTTAACTGTTTCTGTTGGCGAGTTATGAAGATTGATGGGAAAAATGAGTTTTCCAGAAATTAAAAGCAAAATTACTTTCTCCACAGTGTTTTTCTCCCTCTGAGGAGAGACATGGAGTAGAAGCCAAGCTACCTGCTCTGTCACTTAAGAGTCAGCATTGCAAACTTTCAAACAAAGACATTTCTGTTGCCACTAGTTTAAAATATAAAAGAAACTTGGAGTGAAGGTAGAAAACTCAGGATTTGATCCAATTCAAACTCATCCTTTATGAAATTAGTTCCTCAAAATTTATATTGTTATTTCTCAATACTGTAGTAATGAACATTTTTGTCCTATTATACTCAATGTCTTGGATAGGATATGATTTTTTTTTTATTTAACTTGTGCACTTTTTTAGGTTTGTAACTAAAGGAGTTTTCCATCCCAAGAACTGTACTCCTGAACCACATTTAAAGTACAACCTTAAAAAAATAATAAACCAATAAATCTGTTTTTTTCCACCCAAAATATTTACTCTTTCGTGACTTAAAACTGGGTTTTTGTCTTTAACGTTGTCAGTTAAAAATTATATTTGAAAGTTTAAGATATTTCCCTTAAAGCTTGTGTGTTTTTAAACAAATATGCAAAAGCAATTTTTAGGTCTTTAGTCTTTCATAATGTTTAGGTGAGAGAATAAAGCTAGCTATTCAGCTGAGTGTAAGTGTTACTTTGTTATGCTTTGGGCTATGTCTCACTAAAGAAATAAAGTTTCTTGCTTAAAGAATTGTAAAATTAGCTCTCTCGTAGTACTTTTACATATGAAAAGAATAGTTCAGTTTAACTAAGGCTGTTTCAGATATCCATGGAAATGAAATTTTAGTATTAATAAACACTTTTGAGGACTTTTGACTAAGTAAAAAACATTACCTGGCATTGGTGAACCTAGTAGTTGCTTCTAGGAGGGACCAATATAGAAATATATGACCTGCCTTTAAAGAACTATCAAGCAATATCAATTCAGTGCTATTACTTCTGTGGTTATAAAAGGTGTTTATGAATAGAAGAGTTGAAGTCTTCCAGAAGGTCAGCTGACCCTACTGTACTGTTAGGATTTAGGGTAGACATTTCCAAGTGAGGAAATACCCTTAGCTAAGGATACTTACACATATATTCAAGGGCCTGTCTGCATGTTTAAACATACATGTACATACAGTCTTTGAAAGTGGAATAAAATAATTTAGGCGATAATGAAGTATTTCTCTAGAGGAATAATAAATAATGGTAACTTTGGAAAATTGGAGTGGGACCATATCGTGGTGGCCTTTGAATGCTAAGGAAAGATTTTAGCCTTTGAAATAGCCAAAAACTCCATATTGGATGATTGAGTGTACTGGAGTTTGATATTTAAATCAATTTGATCTACAAAGGCTATTTCGGTAGGACAGTCATAGCTATGCAGATGCAATGGATCTTATATTAGCAGGTTGCCTTCCATATCCCTCTGTACCATAAAGAAAAAAGACATTGCCTGATTTAATAGTTAGCTAGTTACAGAAGGAGAAGTGCTATAACTATAGTACATCTGAAGGAAATAGGTATGTAATGTACGAGAGCCAGACCTGGCAGGAAGCCAATGATTCTGCTCCTCGTTTGTGGATTTTGAGGTAGCAATGGGATTTTATCATACGATAGCCAGCATAGGACTGGAGATGTAGAACCGGAACTTTAGTCATTCATTATGTTTTTTTTTTCTGAGCATCTACTATATAACTTGCCAGCATTTTACTCTAAGATGAAAAGGCAGAGAGCCATCAAGATGATGGAGGTTCATAACATCAATGAGACTGTGTGGACGTGAAGGCACTCCTGGGACAGGAAAGATGGGTTGTAATGTAGATGCATGAGAGGACGAGAAAATATGACAAGATAAAGAGGGGGTGATTAGCTGGAGCAAAGTCTCTACTGTCACCCAGAAGCCTCAAGAGAAGGGATTACTTGTGGCACCAGATTCCAATATGTGGAGTTATTGTGTCCTCATTTCTTTCTCACTGATCAGCCAGATTTGCTGTGCGGTAGCAAGAGGTTGGAAGCATTGCCTTGAACTTAGGAATCCTCTGTTGAGTGGTTGAAAACAAAGCATTAATTATAATGATAATAGCTGGAACGAAATAATCCAAGCCAACTGATAGCTTGGAGGAGCAGGGGTAGTGGTAGTTTGAAGGCTCAAAACTAGGCCTTTCAGACTAGAGGCTATTAGGGAAAGTAATTAGGAATTGGGCAGAGTATAGCATGTGAATTGAATGGTAAGGAGGGTCTTGAAATGGTACTTGAATTAAAAAAAAATCCATCATATGCTTCCCCTTCTTTAGGTATAGAAAATGAGAGCTTACAATTTGCCTAGTGCTTAAGAGCCAGCGAATATTGAGGTGCTGTGTTGTTTTTAGTCTGCTTTTCTTTATTTCAATGATCTTGTACACTTGTCTACAAAATTAGGAATAATAAAAGCTGCATTTCCTTTGCCTCGGCCAGAGCTTGTTATGATGGAGTTATCTGTGGAGTATACTTGGAGCTCCTGTTCATACTGCAAACAGTATCACCATCTCATCTCTCTCCACCTTGATAACCACATTTTTTTTCATTGAATCCAAATCCTGCCCCCAATCAGA